TTCTTCAATTCTTTGCATCTACCATTGGTGTTCCCTTGCTCATACTCAAATTCACAGATGTACCAAAGTACTCCCTTTATTGCTTTGTTTGGTATTCGAGAATACATTATGCTCCATGTATATTAATTTTCCCATGATAAACATGTTCCATAAACCATGCTAAATATACCAAAAGCTATTACTGTCTTTTATAAAAGGAATACTTTAAAAAAGCAAGTGTCCTTACAATATACAGTAAAATAGCTCTATCTGGAATTCATATATTGCCTACATTCATTAGCACAATTGACATAAGCGAACTTTCTTGTTCTTATAAGGAATACTACAAAAATGAGCTTAGACCTATTACATGAATTGTTACTGCTATTAAATAGTCTACTTCAGTTTCATTTGTGTGTTTTTAAGAATCTTTGAATATTCAGGAGAATAAAACTACCTTGATATTAAAATTAAGTCTAGAAAGGTTATTTTTTTTTAATCAAACATAAGCTTATCGAATAAAATGAAGCAATAAGTTGTGTGGCACCCACACACTGCATAAAGAGAGCATTCTCTAGTCTCATGTTTCTGTGGTGTGCGCTATTCTTTCAGGCAGGCAAATGGAGCACAGCTGACTGTATAATGAAATTCTATATATAAATATGAAAATTCCAATAACGGAATGATATTAACCTTTAAAGTTAGGCAAGCACTTTACACTTATAATACCCTGCTTTCAAACATTTTTACATAAATGTGCAATCATGCATTATTTCCTCATTTTTCAAGAGACATATAGTGTGTTACATGAGAAAGAAAGATCCGAAGTCATCTTTTTAAGATACATGCATTCTTTCTATTGTGTAATTATAAGAGTAGGCAAAAAAAAAAAGGGGGGGGTTTCATAGGAAGGTACAATTGCATTTTAAATTTATCAAGCTGAACCAATGCACACACAGACACAAGTATTGACACATGTATTTGTGCGTGTCTGTGCGTGGGGAGGGAGGGTAGGTCTGTCAATGACAGTAAGCATCAGGATATTTCAGCATGAGTGATTGCACGCCTTTAGATTAACAACTCTTTAAAACAACTGCCTGAACTACTAGCACGGAGATACCTCACCAGCAACTGCTTCACCTTACGAAGGACGGCTATTTGCCAAGATCAAACAGATGCTAATCCCATCCGTGTGAGCTCCGTGAGTGACCTCCTTGTAATCTTGTGAAGAAAAACAAACGTTCAAGATACTATTAGTAGAAAAACTTTTGGATGGAAATTCTATCCACAGTGTGGTGCCTTTCAATTGGAAGTAATCCATGGGACAAAACCTTTCAGGCACTACAAAACTGGCAGACAACCTGTCAAGCTTTTCTGTAATATGATCTATGAACAAATCCTCTTGTATCCATTCTGAGCAAAAGATTGAATGAATACTTTAGATATGAGAGATGGAAGGAAAATAAATGTCTCTTCCACTTTCTTATTTAGTGCATCTAAGTGATACATGCTTTTTTTTTTTTTTCTGTTGTGTAAATAAGGAAAAGAGAGGGTCAGATTGAAATGTCGTGAATGGGCTCTTGGTGAATTCTGGGTATAAAATATGAGAGGGGTCTAACAAATCTTTTGGGAGAAAATGACAACTCTCAGTTTTTCATCCTGTCAACTAACAACTGAAATTTCACTGAAGGGTACTGGTAGAAAGATTTGTGAGTCTCTGGAGGAAAAAGAAGGATGAAAGATTAAAACCTAGAGTACATATCTAAGATTTTATGCAGTACAAGACTGTTCTAAAAATGCTTTGTTGCTGCTAAACTTCAAATGCTTAGGAACTCTTTTAATTTATTTGACAAATGAATATATCTCACCCTCTGTTTATTCCCACATGTATATAAAGATCCTGCTCTTCACACAGAGTTTGGGGCTCAGTATCTGTAAGAACGTTCCCAAATCCTTCAGGTTTGTTTCACAAGCAGGATAATTCCATAAGAATAATCCTTTCAAGGATCAAGCTCTCTCAGATGAACAGTATTTCACTACCTACTTCAGTCTTTCTTATGAACATTTCTTAAATGCGGCTGATCTGCTGGGGGGGATCAAGGGATGCCAGGCAGGAAATTCTTCATGTTCTCCTGTTCAATGTTTCACTGATCTTGGAATCATGAAATAAAAGAAATGATACTTCCCATTTTCTTTCAATGCACAAGGTGAATAACTTAGATGGTATAAGGTGAGAGTCTGTCTTCTGTTTCTTGCTTTTTTTAGAAGTCAAGAAAGAAGAGAAGTTCAGCCAGGAGTTAAAGTACAAATATAGATGTTCAGACAGACTTGAATAAAGAGATAAAGTACATCTCAAAAAAATTTTGAAAGAAATAGCTTGGAATTTTAACAGATACATAAAATAATTTCTTACACATTTACATAGTAGATCCTAAATCCCAGTGAACTATTCATCAAGATCTGGGGGCTCTGGACAGCCAAAGATAAATCTTTGTTCAAAGGGCAAAAAATTAGGACAGGAATTGGAGGGAAAATTTCTACATCTTTGAGAAAATGGAGACATTCCTTCTACATAAGGCAAACAGCCTTCTCTTGTTTTGCAAAGAGCTGGATTGACACCACAATACTTTCAATCTAGAATCAGCAATGACCCCATTTAGCCAAGCATTATGCTCAGAAGGCAACACAGGACAAGGTTCTGAACTTTCAAATACACAGTCTATGAATATTTCAAAAATTATATGTTTACCTCCACAGACTGATAAAATTCATTACTAAAAGATCACAAGAGCTGAGTAGAGTAAGGCTCTCCTCCTCTTGTGGAAAACAGACTGAGAAGAACAATAATGATGAATAACTATTAATACAGTTTTCCAATTTTGTTTATCTTTTTGTTATATTTCTTGTCTCCCTATAGTGCATACACATAATGAAGGTAGTACCTAAAGAGCCAAATGTTCCTGTGTTTCGAGTACGATGAAGGAATTGGAAAGCCCGTCAGTCTAAATGGGCAGACTTTCGCCATAGGTACTTCAGAGCTCCCATCGATGATGGATGGTCTTCTATTAGTGTGTTATTTATATACTTACTTGTAACAATTCTAAAACCTTAAAACACGTGCTAGCTACAAAATCAACTCCTGCTGATCTAGAATAATGGAGAACATTATGTGGAGTTTTAATAAAAACTAATATTCGATATGACTGACAAGGATAAGCAGCAAGAGCAAGGAAATAAATGCCATTTGCTCAAACTTTTACAAATCATAACACTGCCATACTCTAGACATTGTTCTATCATTCTGAAACAAGAAACATTCCCAAATGACAGACAACAAAATTTCACTAGCTGTATTCAAAAAAAAAAGAAATCAGCTCAAAGCATAGATTTCTGAAAATTTTAAGTGAAACTCTAAATATTTCTATTTTGCTCTTCTGAAGGAAGTAATTTACAGTTATGTTGTATTTATGAATTATCTTGTCAAGCTTATGGTAGCTTGAGCTATCATACAAACTTATAGATACTTCCTATGACCTCAGAAGTGGAAATATTCTAAAATCTTTTCCTATGAGAACATGTTTTAAAATGCTTAGGGACTACATTTTCAAAAAACATTTTTCAAATGTTGGAGGGCTATGACAGAAAACACACCACTGTCATTAAATATATACACTCAGTTCAGGTTTTTCTTAAACATGTCAATAAAATCATCTAATCAACACAAGAGATGAAATCAAAAATTGCTGCATTTCATCACAGTACAATGTTACACAACACTATTCTTAGAAAATTAGAGACAAATTCAAATGAATTGTTATAAGGCTGAATAGAATAACATGCTTTAAAATAATTTGCAAGTAATAATAGATACATGACCAGTTGCCCTTTAATAAAAAATTAATAATATTCACATGAATTAAAAAATATACAAACAAAATAACTATAGCTATATACATCTTTGTCTGTAGTACTGCAAAACTAAGCCTGGGCATGAGTACACTATAATTCCAGCGATGGAAATTGGTAAATGAGCTAACTGACTCTTTTAAAGAATTCATAAACTCATAATAGATTTCCAATGGAAAAAAAGAAAAAAAAAGGTTATGTAAATCATCAGGGTGCCAGTATACTAAGAAAAATTATTTCATCGGACAAAGGCTTGGCTTGCTTAATTTGCATAAAAAAAATAGACTGTGCAAGAAGTAAAATTCCTAAAATTATCAAGATCAGATGCCTCAAGGGAAAACAACAGTGCTTCAGAACTATTGATCCTGTTTATAAGAACAAAATTAAGTATGATGAATATCCGTATATGTTGTTTGAATCATGCTGTTTACATACAGCACTAAACACGAATCTCAGTTCAATCTCATCTAAGTTTAATCAGTTGTAAAATAAATATATATATATATATATTTGGGCTCAATTGCCCAAAGAAACTACACCAATTTACACTTCAAAAGAATAAGGTGACCTTGTATATAAGTATTTACTGAAGAGTTTCAACTGTGCCATAGTTTTAATGACAAAACTACTCAGCCAGAGCTAAAATTTTGCTTAGAATTAAAAAAAAATGGCAAAAAAAGCATAAAACATAAACATTTTGCAGAGAGGGCTGTATCCTACTGTATGTTTCAATGAGTGCTTATAGCAATAAGGCTTTACCAACAGTTGCAAATAATAAGAACATAGAATAGCTTCCAAGTTTGAGATGGTATGATTCTGAGTTCATTTTACTTACCCATGTTTTTTACAATACTATTTTGATTATTTGAGAGCTTAAGACTCCACTAGGAAGACAGTTTAACTGTCTGTAATTTCATTCTTCGATTTATGTAATTTTTAACAAGGAAAAGAAGTAAATTTTCTTCTTCGTTCTTCCTCAAAACCCAGACAATAAATGCTGTGTTTAGAGAGAGATCTTACTATGCAGACAGGGCAATGAGTAGGTGGGATTGTTCATTAAAGCTCTCATTTGTCGGAAATTAAAGTCACCACAATAATCTTAAAGTCACTGATACCTCTCTCCGTCGAGAAGCCCAACAGGTTTGTTTGATTTTCCAAACGACAGCAGCTACCAGCAGTAAGGATAAGAAACAACTGCAATTACAAAAAACAAAAACAAAACAAAAACAAAACAAAAGTAATTATAACATCATGCTCTGAAAAAAAACTCATGTTTTTAAGAGTATAAGTAAATGAAATACATTTAAGCATAGTAAAAAGCACATACATAGAGAATACCTCAACTCTTCCGGGATGACAGAGAGCTGTCAGTCCTTCAGATCAGAGTCAAAAGTGAACGCACACCTCTGATGCTGACATTATCTCCATGTGATACCATTACTGTCTCCATCATACCCACAACAGTCTCAGAAAATATGCATTGCATGTTCCAATTTCAGAAGATGGATGAAAAAAGGGGAGGGGATGAACTATAGCAAGAAATTATATCAAATCATATTTATCACCTGTTCATAAATTCTGAATGGGGTGCAGGAAGGATAACTAGAATGGGAGTAAAACCAGTCCAAGAAACATGGTTGCCATGTGACAATAGATATGTTTCATCAAATCAATTATTTCTATAAGGAATCTCTCAGGAAGAGCATCCCAAGGAACATCACCATGTTACAGACCAAACAGAGCAGAAAAAAGGCAGCAAAATGAATAAATTTCTGCAATTTGCAATGGCTGCATATGCTTTCTCCCTTGCTTCACTTCTCCCTTGTTCTAATACTGTTAGATTAGTAACATTTAGTCCACCAGGATTTTGGCAGAAAGACCACTGGACTTTTTTAGTGAATTTCAGGATGCTAATAGAAAGCTTCTATAAGTTGAGACCCAAGTGTGGGGCTAGCACATTTTTAACTGATTTGGGACAGTTTTTATAAAAATATAAGGGTTTTTTTTTAGCTGTATGATGAACTTCGAACATCTGCTATGCAATTAATAAAAACTTGTCTCTATTAAACTATATTAATCATTCTTAATTTTTTATCAAAAAGCTTTCAAATATATTCTTTATCTATTACAGGAAATATCAAGTACTCCTCTTCAGTAATATAACTGAGCGAAGTGTTGCACGTAATGCAAAATATGATCATTATCCAGACAGTAATATCATTTTTGATTCTTATTGTGCTGTAACCAGAACTGAAATTATGGCCTAGAAGATACAACTCCAGAAGCAGCAGCTCATTTCATTCAATATTCATCCATAATACAGAAACTATTGGAAACCAGTTTATGGCAACTGTAGCATAATGACACTATTAAGGCAATGTGGTTGACAGAAATTGGAGTGAAAGCACCCAATCATTCTGTGGTCCACAAAGACCGGGGAATCATCTGGACCATTGCTCGGGTACAAAAATTGCTCAGAGTATGTACAAAACTCGGTCCCCATCCTCTCCTTGTAGGAGCCTTTTTTTTTAAGCGTGATTTTACTGGTTCTTAGCACAGCTCCTTCAAAAAACAAAGTTACCTGGAATTTTGACTGTTTCTGATCAATAGATCAGAATAGTTCAGCATATCTGCTAATCATTCTGCCGAAATAAAACTGTGGAAGGAGAGCGCTAATGAGCTGTAATAAATGGAAGTGAGAGAGCAAGCGCTGGCTCAGGAACCTCTGGGAATTCAGAGGAGAAATATCAACCTTCTACACATTAATGAATCTGAGTGCAAATCGTCTTTCTACATAGGTCTTCACTGAAAAGAACTACCGCAGTAAGGACATTTTAACTGATACACCATTTTATTAACATAGTATTTCTTTCTAAAAGAACTTTTTATGACAAAAGATCTAAGTGGCACACTTTTGATAGAAGCTGACCACCAAAGAACAGTCACCTCTTAGTTTAATCCATCACTTGATTTACTGAGACCACTTCTTAAAATTTGTCTTTGGCTGTCTCCCTTTCTCTAGTTTTCTTTGAAATCAATCACAAGTTGACTGTGAGTTTATATTTAGTGTCTATGAAAAAGCAGAACAAAAAACCCTGCTGACCAACAGAATAAATCCCCTTTTGCAGCAACTCCTTTTTGGTTTTTAAGGCCAAAAGCTGCTGACAAATAATACTTACCAGAAAAAGCAATATTTCAAAAATACTGTGCTATCTGGCCAGTATCTGCCACAGATGCTTATGAGCAAGCTAACACCAGAGAACTGATGTGCTGCTCTATGTTAGCATGCTGTGCATGAAGTAAAGGTATCCTATCTCATTTTTCTCTGCTACAGTCTTTACAAAGAGTAAATTAGGGAAACATTTGCAATGCTATTTAGAAGGGCAGACTTAAAGCTCCTGGAATTTGTAAAAGCTGAATGCATTTGAGAGAGCTGGGCAGAGGAAACAGAGAGCCTTGCACTGTGCAACAGCCTCATCATTGCCAGGAATTCAGCTCTTTTAAAGAAAGAAACCTCTCTATTAGCTTCTTGAATGTTTCTGTTGAGCTATTTGAATAAAGAGCTGAGGTTTTGGTTGCAAAACTTCAGCCAAAATTTACCCTGTACATTAATGGATGCAGGTGAGACATCTACTTTTCTTGTCACTAGTCAAAACCTCTTGTTATTTCATGTGCAAAGTCAAGATCAGAACAGGGGGTCAAGAAGAGACCTGTAAAATAAGATAAATCATCTGGAAATTACGGTGCTATTGCCCACTGTTTAGTTAATACTTATACATATCTTCAGCTGACCAGAAAAAAAAAATACATGAAATGCTTGATCATTCTCCTCCATTTGCTATACAAGCAATCATTTTGTTTTTGTTTTCATGGAAAATTACAAGGAAAAAGTCTCAAAACATGCTAATGAAGAAAAGCAAGTTTTGTCAGACTAACCTGGTTTCAGACTGTTTTGAGATAACAGCCTTCATTTATTTAAGACAATAAAAATTAAAGCTGACTGCAAAGCATCTCACAATGTTGAGAGACTAAGCAATAAAATAAGAGAATGAAATTCAGTGCCAGTGAACTTAAAATAATATGCACAGGGGAAAAAAATCACTAACAATAAATGCACGATGATCAGTTCTAAATTAGCAATTAGCTCAAGAAAAGTCTTGAAGTTATTGTAGATGGTTCTTTGAATAAAACAGCTCAACATTTAGTGTGAAGAAAAAAAAAAAAAAAAAAAGGGGTAGAATGGATGTCAAGTCCTCAGCACCAGCTCTGAACACCTTTCTCCTATTTGCCCATATTGCCTACTAATGGAGACATAGCATAATCATCAAAAATATTACTTTTATTAAGGTATTTGGATATAGGAATATCACTGAGTGTGTATTGGTATACACATATACTTTAAAAGTTCCTCCTAAGTCTTTTTTTTTTTTTTTTTTTTTTTTAAAACAGACACTAGGCCATCAAGAAAACTGCTGCTTTCTCACATAGACCTTGCTATGTTGTGTGTGCCTATGGTTAAATATCTCTACAGATCCATGAAGAATGCCCCTTGATTTCAGTGTTTTTGCCACCAGTACAAAAAGCCTTCATGAGACAGTAACCACATCAACAATCCTTGCATTGTATTAATGAAACTAACTGATTGCTTTTCATCCTAACTATGTTACTTTTTAAATATGAAAAACTGAAATTCTATAAGACTACTGAAAGAAACATTTTCAATGTTGTTGCATGCAAATGAAGAAGGGTCTCATATGTAAGTTAATGTTTTTAAATTAACATTGTACAAATCTCCTAACAGATCATACATACTGTTTTTCTAAAAACTTTTTTCTAATTACGTATTATTTGTTATTGTTTATTGGCAAATAGAGCATATTTTAATTGATATTTTATAAAGCAAGCATAATACTGAAATAAAAATAATTGAACAATTACTTTTTTTCTGAAACCATGACTCTGAAAAGCAATTATTGTCACAGCAATTTGTTTGTCCCATTGTACTTGACAAGAATATTGTGTTCATGATTATGATGTGATCGATTCAGCCACCCTTGCTTGTGTTGACTAATACACATGACAGGCAGCTCCAAAGATTTCAGGAGGATTACCTCAAGTACAAAGCACTGTAGGCAGTATATTAGCAATCTATGATATGTATGAAAAGCCATATAAAATTCTGGATGTTTTTAATGCTCTGCATGCAGATTTTGCAAATATTCTCATATATAGGAACATTTCAATGATTAGCAGTCCTAAATTATTTTGGAAAGAGAAATGTTAGGGTTCCGAATTAATAGTGTGTGAGGTTGAAGAAGAAGGCATTCGTGTCTAGCAATGGAGTAGGACATACAACTTCCAGTCAATAGTAGTGAAGTGTTTGGGCTCACAGACACAAATCTTAGCTGATCCTGGGAAGCTAAGACATTTCAGACACATTTATTTGTTTCCTGGGTTAAGCTCGCTCTGGCTGTCACAGCCAGTGAAACATACCACCTATTAAGTCACCATAACCATTTAGGTGATTAAAGAACTTCCTTCCCTTCTTTTTGCTAGTAATGGAAATTACTCCTGAGGAACACTAGTAGCAGTGGTTCTGTGAACCCACTGCACCTCACAAACCATTTTCTGGAAATAAACATCTAACACTTGGTCCATCTTTCTCTCTTCAGCAACCCAGGGACAGGTGTTTATTGTTATATTTAAATCAGTCAGGATTAAGCTTCTCTTCACCAGCATAGATTCATCTCCTGTTTTAATACAGACCCTTCCTACACCAATTGCTTTAGTAGCTCCACTGCTCCCTTCTGCCATCTTCCCCATGAAAAAAGAAAAGGAGTCTGAAGGAAAGACTTAATTCACCTGTGAACTTCCTACTTTCTATGAACCCACAAAGAGTTCATGCAGCTTCAACCACAAATGATCTAAAATGGTATCTAAAACTGCAAATATCCTCAAAATTATTCAAATGTAAATTTGAACTTATTTACTTGTCTCTCAATTGGAATTCACAAAAGTTAAGAAACAACCTCAAACATGGAAGCTCATTACAGGGACAATTCTTATGCAAATGTACAGTGCTTATTACTGTGGAAACAAGCCAGAAAATAGACATTTTCCATAAATAAAGCTTCTACAAGTGTTAAATGTATTCCCCATGAAAATCATATGATCCAAGAAAAAAACATGAAAGT